ACTAAAATAACTACGTCTACCAAAAAGAGCAAAAAAGGCTCAAATAGTGGAAGGAAATAGTTAAGGATATTGAGATTGAACGATTGAAGACTAAGTTCGCTGAAGTAGAGGCTGAGAGTGGTATTCTTCAAGATATGCTGAAACTGCTTCAAGCAAGAACCTGGTCCTTCCAAGTCCTAAATCCTTCCTAGCCCAGTTATAACCAGTGACCCAAGTGAGATATCTCTATTTTTTTGCTCACGGTTCTATGGCTTTATTTCTTTTTATGCCTTGTGGTAGGATCTTATCAATCAATAAAACTCATTGCTTTTGCTCTAAATGTTTGTTGATATTTCTTAAATGGCTAATATCCTTAAACTGAAAAAGAGAAAATTGAATCCATGATTGCATTTGAAGTAGCTCAATGGCCATGAGTGATATCTATTAAAATATGGTTACTTAACTTAATTATGCAACTTTTCGATGATGCCAAAAAGGGAAAGACAATGTGTTCTTTTGCTTTGGACTGTGATATTTATAACCTAATGAACCCAGTCCTTGATGATTTGTGTCTTTAAAATGGAAAGCGTTCTAACAGTGTGTTGATGCTGAGCTGAGTTGAAACAGATTTCATGCTTATGAAAAGCACGAAGTTTGTCATCATCAAAAATGGGGAATTAATAAGGCGTGCTTTTTCTTTGGATTGTGATGTTTATAACCTAATGAACCCAATCCTTGATGATTTGTGTCTTTAAAATGGGAAGTGTTCTAATAATGTGTTGATGTTGAGTTGAGTTGAAACAGGTTTTATGCTTATGAAAGTACGAAGTTTGTCATCATCAAAAAGGGGGAATTTGTTGGCTTGAGTAAGTTTGTTTTGTTGATTGACAATGGAACACATGCATGAGCCAGGTCCATGGACAGTATACACAGGTGACAGACAAAATTAAGCACAAGGCTTGCACGTGAAACAAATAAGTATAAATGGTTATATATGATATTCCCTGAACGAAAAGATTGCATATTTGATAGGGAGCAGGACTCCTTACTTGAAGAGAACTCTATCCAAGATAAGAGAAGAGTTAGAAGTTGAAGTTGACTAGAACTCTTCCACCAAGAAAGAGTAAAGCATTAGAACTCTAGTTAATCTTTATTTACTAACTCTATAAATATCAGCTGTGTGTTCTCTTTTACAGGTGAGACACACATACTGAAGTTAAGCACGAATTGAGAGCAAAATAGCAAGGGATTTTGTGAGCAATTCCTGTAAGATTTAAGAGTGCGATCCTGAAGCTACACGAACCAGATTGAAAAAACAGCTCCATAAAAATTTTTATGTGTCTTTCTTTATTTCTAGTTCAAAGTATAGTAGGTGTTTTGGGTTGTACCTTTCAACTTTCTTAGAAGCAAATTGTACTAGGAACCTGAGTTGTATCTTTCAATTTAGAGTTAACTTGAAGTAGTTGCAACAACTCATGGCGTGTTGCTATAAGGGTTTGAGTTAATCCTTAGGTTTGCAAGAGGTTGTAAACTCGAGTTGTATTGTTCAAGTTAGAGTTAACTTGAAGCGGTCGCAACAGCTTGTAGCTAGTTGCTATAAGGGCTAGAATTAATCCTTAGGTTTGCAAGAGTTTGTAAACTTTGTTGTTGGCTCAGAGTTGTAGTGAAGTGTTTGGAGAAAATCCTACTGGGTAGTAAGTTGTAGTTTTTCACCTTTTGAGCTGAGTGTTTTCCACGTAAAAATACTTGTGTTCTTTACTAAATGCATTTACTATTCCGCAACAGTAGTATAAGGAACACATAGAAGAACCAAGTCCTTTTATAATCTGTGCATGCGAAAAATTGGATACCACACAAATCACCCTCCCTCTTATGTGGTATTGAAGTATAAGACATCAGCCTACTTCACACCCCCTTAGGGTGCGACCTTTCTCCAGATCATGCATAAAACGCAGCATGCTTTGTGCATCGGACTGGCCTTTTACTAATTCCACAATTGTAACACGTTACCTCTAATAATCATTTAAGTGATCTTACAGTATGGTCACTGTATAGAAGTTAAACTGGATTGAGAATGATGTAATGCCAGCATGTTTATCCTATGTTGTGCAGGCATGTTTATCTTTATTTCAAAACATATTTTGCCTCTATATGTGGGTCAGGAGATCTTTATAGTATGTGATAAGATCTCAAGTTTAGCATAAAAGCCTATAGGAGCTAGGCTGTTTTGTATTTTGCTCTTTCCTATTGAGATTGCACTCATATGCCATGAGGTTACTACTTTTCGTCAGAGCCATTATACTTTGTAAGAATATGGCTTCAAAAACATTATTTTATGGAGCGGCTTCTAGATAATCTTGTTAAACAAATGCTAAAGTATCCTAAAAGAAGGATGTTTTCTTAGTTCCAACTGTTTTTGATTCCTATTTTTTGCTTTAGCTCATGCAAGCAATATCTCTCTTTCTTTTATTTTATTTTATTTTGGCTCACACTTTATGGATATGTATCTCAGTCGATATGTTTCTCTAGATCCTCAGATTTGCCTATATCTCTAGAATTGGTCTAATCTCTTCATGAGATTAGATGCAAGAACCCCAGAATTAGCATAGGAAAAGCATTCCTAAAATGAGTGTCTGAATTCTATCCCTTTGGCAGCTCGGTGCGCTAAGCTCCGGCTCTGCACAGGGTCTGAGGAAGGGCTAAATCATAAGAGTCTATTGTACGCAGCCTTACTCACATTTCTCAATTCTGCCCCTACTAAAAGAAAACTCAATTTAACTTTACAACTTATCACGAAACATGCAGAAAGGTGAACTGTCATATACACTTTTATAGCAGGGAGATTAATTGTCATATACTGGAATTTTATGGCATAGATTAGGAGTGGCAAGCGGGAGGGTCGGATATGGTTCAGGTCAAAAATGAGTAATGAAAATCGGATAAATTATCCGATCCGACCCATATTTAATACGGATAAAAAATGGGTTAGCGGATAATATGAGTAACCATATTATCCATGACTTCTTGCATATAATCACTTTTGGGAGAATTCTTAGCCCACGTTTGGCCATACATTTTGACAAGTTTTTTTCAAAATTTTTTTGAAAACATTGTTTGTCCATAAATTAGTGATCTGTTTTTGAAAAATTTCTGAAAATATTTTTCAAGTTTTCAAAATCTAGTTTATGGTAGATTTTGGGTGAAAATCAAGTTCCTACTCACAAAACTTCAAATTTTTTCCAAATAAAATGCATGTCCAAACATAATTTCAACTTCCAAAAATTATTTTTCAAAACTACTTCAAAAATTATTTTTTTAAGTTTCAACTCAATCTATGTCCAAACGCTAGCTTAGTCTCCCTAACTTGAGGAAACCCCAATTTGAGGCTTTACAAATGTAAAAATCAGACCCATTGATTATCCATTGGTTACCCATTGGTTATTCATTTTCTAAATGGATAATATGGTTATTATTCATATTTGACTCGTTTCTAAAAAGTTTATTATCCAATCCATTTTTAGTAGATAATATGAGTGGTTATCTATTTAAGCGAGTGCACCGGAAAAGAACGGGAACTGGATCGATCTATTCTATGGTGAAGCATCCGAAGCATAACTGCACACTCACACGATCTTTGCCGAGAGATAGGAGCATTCGGTGGAACCGGTGAACTACACTTGCTTCTGGATAGATGTGTGGGACAGAGGGCTCGTGGTACCTGCTGCCCACCCTTCCTCCTCTGCTTTGAGAACCGTGTGAACGGAGAGTGGGCAGAAGAGAAGGAGGTCCTCATACGGAGTCGCACACTTACTTGAGCAGTGCGGGAGACTGGGGAATGGGTCGAATAAACTCCCGCCACCCCCAGTAGAGATAGATATTTGAACATATGCTCTCTTTCTCTCAAATGGTATTCTTGTCCAGCTTAGTTCCCCTATGTATTTTTATTTTTGTTCTTTTTCTTGTTTTTTTATAAATAAAAGTCAACAACCTCTTGGTGGTTTTAATTTATGGAAAAAAAAAATTAAGCCGTTGACTTATGTTGGCTGTAGGTAATGGCTGCTGAGGTGGAGGCGGCATGCATGAGAGGCGCGGGTCTATGTGTTCTTTATGCTCGAACAAGTCAGCGCGCAGCCAAAATTCAAATGCTGGAGATGATGCTGAAGCTAGAGGTGGAATATGACTTTGTTTGTAGCAATGAATGTCAGAGACAGAGTTCAAAATTGGTGGTGTGTTGAAATAGTGGAACTGTGGAAGTGCACTGAGATTTGTTTGTTGTGGGCAACCAATAAATGAAACATACAGCATAATAAAAAGAATGAAGCAGCCATTTAAACTAGCTCAAATACTATTTGTAATCACTTTATTACCACTAAGTAAATCATGTAAGTTAATTTTGTTAGTAAACAGCGTTCCATACTAGAAAATCAGAGAAGAAAAGAAATATTAGTTCAATAAAAAAGAACATAAATAATTTTCGAGCCCACAAGTTGTTTGTGCGTCCTTAAAAAATTTAATCCCCTCACTATTGCCCAAGGTTATGGGTTACTTCCTCCCAGGATAAAACGAAAAAACTATTCTGTAATACTGACAATTGAAATTACAGAACTTCAGTGAACTCAACAAGCAGAGCAAATCACAATTGACAGTTAGTTTATTTGAAAAAATAATGCAACAATGTAGAAAAGAGGGAGAAAGTTTTCAGATTTTTCATGTATGAAAATTGAGGCTAAGCCTATAAATTTATAGACAATGAAAGGATGAGATGAAAAGGTGCAATCCAAAAGTTGCCTCTTCCATTTCCCATTCACGCCCTTTAAGGAAAACCCAACAAATTTTTTATGGCAGTTTCTAAGGGGAAAAATGTTTATGGACTATCATTGAATCATCTGGTTCTTGAAAATATTAACACAGGAAAAGATTAACTCAGATGGAGAAAGCCAGCTGGGAAAAATATCATAGCAAATCAAGCTATTTCATCTTAATATTCTTGACAACAACATTGTGGCCTGTGGGATCCAAACTAACGAAATTGGCAACTTTTTCCTAGAATACCAATGAATGTGCAAGAACTGTTTTTACAAGAGTAATTTGCTAATGTATGTTACAAATCTGTATTGGATCTGAGTTGCAACAAAATCTATCATAATAATGGAGAAGAACTACGACAGGATCCAAAGCTACGCGTGGATCCTCTATGGCTGCTAGGAATACTAATCAACATATCCAAAACTTCCTTCATGTTAGGCCGATCATAAGGTTTCTCAGCCGTGCACCTTATCCCAATCCTAAGCAATTCACACATTTCTTCTGCTCCCTCTATCAGTCCAGATACTAATACAGCAACCGGGATCATGGCTCTAGTGAACCCTTTCTTTCCGTATCCCATGATCCTTGTTGCCCATTCAACTAGACATTCTTCGCCTCCGTCTATAGCATGCCTCCCTGTTGCTAGCTCCATAGCTAGAACCCCATAGCTGTATACATCTCCTTTTGTAGTGGCCTGCATTGTCTGCCCATATTCTGGTGCGACATAACCAATAGTCCCTGCCACCGTTGTGCTAACATGAGTATGTTCAGAATTCATGACTCTAGCTAGGCCAAAATCTGTGACTTTTGCCCTTCCATCCTTGTCAAGGAGCACATTACTACCCTTGACATCTCTGTGAACAATGCAAGGGTAGCACTCGTGGTGTAAGTAGACTAAAGCACGTGCCACATCGATTGCTGCTTGTATTCTTTTCTTCCATGTAAACCTTGTTCTATCTGTTATGACATCGTCTAATGTTCCACCTTCCATGTATTCATAGACTAGCAGTTTCTCTGATCCATCAAGGCACCACCCGTAAAGAGTTACAAGGTTCGGATGAGGCCAACCTGAGCCATTTCTACTGAGCACTTCCATTTCAGCTCTGAACTCTTTTTCTCCCTCAATTCCTTCCCTCTGTAGCTTCTTCACTGCTACTTCCCTTCCATCAGGCAAGACTCCACTATAAACTATTCCAAATCCTCCCCTCCCAATAATTCTATCGTTCGAGAAGTTCCATGTGGCCTTCAATATGTCGGAATGTGTGAAGCTTGTTCTGTCCAAACGGATAACCTTAACATCATCAGACATCCGCGAAGAGGAGACACCTGAACTTAATGGAAAATCAGTCCGGCCCTGTGTATCCTCCAATAAGTTTCCTGGCGTATATCTAGGGCATTTTATAACAAGGCAGACGAGTAGTGACATGACTCCACAGACTAGAAAAGCTACTACCAGAATCAAAATTACCAAAAGCGCACCCACCTTTGTGGGCTGCCTTTTGTGATTTTCATTCAGTTTTCCTTTAGTATTGTCCGTAGAGTTGTGCAAGAAGGACGGAAGATGCAACAACGGATTACCAAGAAATGACGACTTCTCAAACGTAAGCATTTGCCCGGTTTCTGGTACAGATCCATACATGTATGGATTGTAAGAGATGTTGAATTTGCTCAGATCATGCAAGTTACCAAAGCTAGCTGGGAATGGACCAGAAAAATTGTTAAATGATAGGTCAAGATTTAGCAAGCACTTAATATAGCCAATCTGCTTTGGGATTTCACCAGAAAATTTGTTCTTTGAAACATTAAGGACTACTGGTTGCACTTGTGCAATCTCCAAAGGGAGCCTACCGGAAAACTCATTAGCACCCAAATGCAGCATAATTATGTTCTTCATCTTGCCAATCTCAGGAGGGATCTCACCAGACAATTTGTTTTCACTAAGTTGAATATAGCCCGGTACCTGATATTTTCGGACATTACTACCAAATTCACAGACTGGAACTAAAACATACCCTTTAAACAAGTTACCCCCTAGGCTTCTACAATTCTTCCCTGTCAATAGAGGATATATAAAGCTAAATGGAGGGTAGTCAGCTGGTATCCACCTCCTCATCGCAAAGCAGTCCCCCGAGCCAGCACTTACCTCATCCTTTTCCCTATTCAATAAAAAAGTAGGCATTGGATTTGCACCAATACTTGCTAATTGAGAAGGAATTGAACCAGAAAGTTGATTATTCGCGAGATTCAACCATAACAAGCTGCTGCAGTTCCCTAACTCTGGTGGGATTTCACCGTTCAGTAAATTGTTTGCGAGCATTAACCACAATAATGACCTTAGCTTACCAAAACTTGGTGGTATTAAACCTGTTAACCTATTAGAGGATAGATCAAGAGCCTGAAGTTTAAGAAGATCTCCATATTCTGAAGGTATATTGCCTCTAAATTGGTTGTAAGCAAGAATCAAAAACTCCAAACCTTTCATCTGAGAAATTTCAACTGGTAATGGACCAGAGAACTGGTTATCACTTAAGTCCAACCGCGAAAGGTTCACCAAGTTCGGAATACCTGATGACACTATGCCTCCAATATAAGAGTTTCCATGCAACATGAGAAATCTCACCTGTGTCAATTGCCCAAAAATTTCTTGTATTTCTCCTCCAAAGTTGTTTTTACTTAGGTCCAAAAAGACCATTTTGCTTAGGCCTGATAGTGTATCTGGAATATCTCTTGAAAAGTTATTGCTTCCTAAGGAAAGTTCTTTAAGACTCAGTACTGATCCAATCTCTCTAGGGATTGACCCTGAAAAACTGTTGCCCCACAAATTCAACTTTAGTAATCCTTTACAATTAGAAATGGATGTTGGCAATTCTCCAAATAATAGATTTTGTGATAAATCCAAAACTAGCAAAGAGCAATGTTGGGTGAAAATCCAGGAAGGTAAAAAAACCCTGAATTGATTATGAGATGCTGAAAACATGTTCAGCTTATCAAACCTGAGTGACAAATTCCCTGTCAATTCATTGCAGCTCAGATCAAGATACTTCAGATTCCAACACTGATCAAATACTTTTCCAATCTCACCAGTGAAATTATTACTAGAAATATTTGCAACGACTAAGTTGTCACAAATCTCAGGGATTGTTAACCGTCGAATCCTGTTCATCGTCAAATCAAGAACTTCCAGCTTGTTTAAACCAGTCCAGTTGAACTCACCATCAATAATATTGTGTGACAAGTTCAAGAATTTCAGATTTTGACACCGGCCTAAGTCTGTTGGAACGGATCCTGAAAATGTGTTCTTGGACAGGTCAAGTGAGGCCAATTCTGTCATGGATGAGAAATTATCAAACAATTTCCCGGCCAGGCTGTTGTCCGAGAGATCGATTCCAGTGACACGATTACTGGTAGTATTGCATGAAATACCAGGCCATTTGCAAGGTGACAAATCTGTAGGATTCCATTGGGTGTATTTAAATCCTCTGTCAATAGGATTTTGATCCTCAAGAAATGACTTCAAATTCAGAAGTAATTGCTTGTCAGTCTCCAGTGAATCTCCACAAACAAGCTTACCTGTAATTTTGCATAGTGAAAAAATTAAAACATTAGTCATGCTGCAATAAATGTAAGTCTGCTAGCTCTCAAAAACTCAAAAACCATTTAAAAATTGACCTGTTAATTACATGTAAAAACATTATTCTTGCTGCAATAAATGCAAGTTTGCTCTCAACAACAACAATATATAACCATACTTAGTGTAATCCCACAAGTGGGGTCGGGGAGGGTAGTGTGTACGCAGACCCTACCCCTACTCTCAAAATCTCAAAAACCATTTAAATGTTGTTTAAAAATGGGCTATTTTTACATGTAATAATAATTACTCCATCTCTTTTGCACAGATCAATAAGAAAGTGATCAATTATGTACTAAGTCAGCTTCTAATACTAAGATTGATCAAAATCAAGCTATCAAACATGACATGAGGATAAAATTATTAAAGTGGTGAATTGAAGTATAAATACCTGTTATGAGAATGAAGAAATTAAGTAATGCAATGGGAAGAAGAATATGAGATTCCCCTTCTGACATGATAAGTGTCAAGTTATCTTGTTTTCCTCTCTTTATTTCTTCTTTGTATTTACTGAGTGTCAAATGAGTTCCAGTTCTCTCTTGGTAGGAATATTAATATTATTAATGCAAAAAGAAGAAGGGGTTGGTTGGTTCCTTAGGAACAATTAATATCAAATGGGAGGAATAAACATAGGAAAATGTATGGTTGAATTTCAGAGAACATGCAGAATATGGACCAAAATAAATTGGAACACATGCACGTATAGTATACAAGGATGACCCAGTGAAATTTCACTGTGGGGTCTGGGAAGGATACTGTGTACACAGACCTTACCCTTACCCCGAGAGGTAGAGAGGCTGTTTTCGAAAGGCCCTCGGCTCAAGCAGACAGAAAAGAGACAATATATCAGTACCATCAATTAAAAACATAGAACAAAGAACAACATCACCAAAAGCAGAAAATAGATGAAAAGCAAAACAATAACCAGTAGATAAAGCACAACACTAAGAGGAACAAAGAATAGTGTGAACTCAACATTAACCCCTAACAGTCTAAGACCAAGTCTTAACAGACTAGCCTCACTCTCTAGCGCTGTAGAGATATTCTCAACTACCTCCTAACCTACAACCTTAATACTCGATCTCCACAACTTCCTCTCAAGGGCCATATCCTCGGTAATCTGAAGCCTCGCCATGTCCTGCCTGATCACCTCTCCCGAATACTTCTTAGGCCGCGCTCTACCTCTCCTCGTGCCCATCAAAGCCAGCCGCTCACACCTCTTCACTGTGGCATCTGGGCTTCTCCTCTGAACATGCCCGAACCATCTGAGCCTTGCTTCCCGCAGCTTATCATTCATGGGGGCCACGCCCAGGGGCGTATGTAGAGTTTTACTTGCGGGTTCAATTGAACCCATAACTTTCGAAGAGGAGTAAAAATTTATATATAAAAAAATTATTAAAATTACAAAATAGTAGCCATGAACCCATAACTTTACAAATATAATGGGTTCAACGCTAACAACCTCAAAAGTTGAACCCATAAAATTTAAATCTTGGATCCGCATCTGACCACGCCCACCTTCCCCCTAACATGCACGTATACTATATTTTTTAAATAATTAGTTGTGGACTCCTAGTAGTCTAATTTTTACTAGATTGACTTGGTGATTATTAATAATCAAAAGGTGTGTTTTATTATAACTCGTTTAGTTAGGATTAATGGCCTTTGATGGGGAGAGGACAAGCTTTGGAGGAATATAGCCGCCCAACTTGACCATAATTTATAGAGGTTGGTGGTCAGAGATGGTGTTTTTGGCCTTATTGTCTATTACTATTATTACTAGCTTTTATTTACTAGTTCTAGAACTCAACATTGACCATTTTCACGTCTGGACAGCCTAGTGGATAATATGTTACAACTCATAATAATTCAGTAGTTACTAAATTAAATTCCAATAATAGTGCACGTGTTCGATCGACAATGGTCAAGATATATTGTCCAAAACTATGTTTTAAAAGATAGAATTGAGACTCGCCCTGATCTGCCTCGGGGCGGAGCACTCGTTAAACACCCATGAGCTTATGTGCGAGCCTTAGTTCTGTGATACTTACGCCTCGGTCATCGGGGCTTACGTTACGGACACGCCCAACACCCAGCGTACTAGGCTCGCCTAATAAAACTTTATGCAATTGTATGTAACTAACCTTGTAAATCCTCAATTTTTCTTAGTAAATCATTGACTATTCAAAATTACTTTTTTCTTAATCATAAAACATTAAGTTGAGAGTATTTTATGTCATAATTAAAATAAAAGTTATTGCACGTTATCCACTAAGACTGCTTTGATAGTTAATTTTAAATAAATCTTTCATTTAAAGAATATTTATTTATTAACTTTTGTTACGTCTTTACTATATTATAATCCATAATTTTTTTTTATAATATTTTTCTAAATATTATTTTTTCCACGTTTACGAGATACAATATTTATTAATTTAATAGCTCTGTATTAGCCAGGAAATATTTACAAATAATTAGTTATCATGGTATTGTATGGTGAATTATGTGTCACTTTATTAACTTGTTGAAACTTAAAAGAAATTCTTTCAAGATTCATTACTCCTTAAGAGATACATATAAGATTTCGTATCGAATACATTACTTTTGATGTTTGAGTTGAATGATGTTGCAGCTAATTTGCATATTATGATATGTCATACTTTTCGTATTATTCATAGTTGAATTATAATTTATAAATATTTTAAACAGATTATTTATTATAATTTTGTGACTTTAATGTAATTTTTATAATAATTTTTATTTTATACTATCTTAAAATTCTTGAAATTAGTAAAAGTTAAAGATCTGTGGAACTTACACCCCATGTCTCAGGACTTACGCCTCGCCTCGTCAGAGGTAAAACGCCTCGCCTCACGCCCCCGCCTTTTAAAACATTGGTCCAAAAAAGTCATTCTATATTCCTATAAATAAATCTCGACTCCTGCACATCTTGTTTGGATGGCTGTTAAAAATTATTTTGATAATGCATTGTATTGATTGTTTTAATTAATACTATATTTGAATAGATTGTATCGTTAGCTATCATATTATGATGTCATGCACCAGCAATATGGAAAATAAACTTACAATATTATAAAAAGAAGAAGTAAACTGTAAAAGTACGAGTAAAATTATTATATAAAAAGGTAGGGTAAAGAATAACATATGATTATTTAACAATAAGTAAGAGATAAAAATAAAGTATGAATGCGACCACACCAAATAGATTATTACTTAAAGTGATACTTTTTATCGTTACATATGAATATAACGATACGATCAAGAACATGCCTCTTATTATTTTATAAATAACTTACTGAAGTTGGTTTTATTGATGGGTGAGTTGGAGATTTTCAGATTCTCTTCAATTATTAGTTCAACAAATAGTACAATTAGCTCTTGGTTTAGCTCTCTGTACTCGTATCATTTTCAAAATTTCATTTTCTAATCTCGTTTAAGGAATTGCAGACTAGCGCAGACAGAGACGTCACCTTTTCACGTCATGGGAATGAAGGACCTTTCGTCGCACGCGTTCAACATCACGTGTGAACGTGGAAATATCCATGCACGTAAAAATTAAAATACAAGAGGTTTTAATTTATCTCTCTCCTTTTGATTTTTGTTGTCAATTTTAGACTAAACGACTTTGAATAACTATTTGTACTACCGGATTTACCCTAGAAAATTTAGTTTGTACTATCAAAATATTTTAATTTAGTTATTTTTAAATTGCTTGTCCTTTTTAACGAGGTATGTTTCAACCCCTACCATTCATCAATGTGCACAACAAGTATATAATCTTAGAAAACGTGATCGCATAGTTAGTGATTGATTAGAGACGTCTTGAAAACTGCTAAGTAGTAAGTACTTATTACTCCCTCGTGTTTAATTTAATTTATACTCCACACTATTGAAAGTTACTTCGACTAATATTTGAAGCTAAATTTGATTAGTTCAATTCAGTATTTTAAAATTTAAATTAAATATATAAAAATTATATATAAAAATATTATAAGAATATTGCAATTCTTCTCATGTATATTTTAAAATATTAGTTAAATTTCATACAAGTTGAATCTAGTGAAACAAAATGTGTCACAAAATTTGAAACGGAAAGAGTAACTTAAAGTAGTAGAATGTGGTGGAAATTATTAGCAAAGTCAAAATTGAATTCAGGTCCTTTAAAGGCTGCTACTCTCGCGTACTCTCGGTGGTTTTCGGTTTCTTTTTCTTTCTTTATTTATTTTATTTTTGTCGGTTTATTTGAAGGTTATGTTGAGAATTGAGTGCTACAATATTCAAAGAAGCAACGTCTCTTTATGTGTATTTATCCTTATTTTAAATAGAATGAAGAAAGCAACGCCTTCTATGTGAGTCTGACGATTTTGGTTATTGACAGAAGCTAAACAATCAGAACTTAAGTAATCTAATATCTACTTGGTAATTACCACTTCAATTCTTAGTAACTATTGTCATGTTTCCTTATAAACATATAATATGAATGCATTATGATCACGCCCAACTATATCTCCTAAGAGGCCTAGCAGTAGTTGTAAATACGATTCGGTTTACAATTCCGAAGCCGAATTTCACAGGGAATTAACCTAACTACTAATACAACCACTAGTTTCGCACGAATTCAAGTATTCAACCTTCAGAAATATTAAATAACAATTTGAATGTTTACTAACTAAGAGCAAAGTAAATAAAAATGCAGTAATTTATAATAACTAACAGAGCAGATATGTGGACAAGATTTAGAAAAGTCTAGGGTTATGATTTCCCCTATTGTCTGTGATGACCTTTAACTTATTTTAGAGACAAATTCTGCGTTCCAATGCCTTAAAAGCCTCTTTCAGTATCATCTCGATTTGCGTGCACAGTCCGGACGCGTAGCCGGAAAGCCATTATGTGAAAATCTATGAAAAACGATGAATTTTGCCTTTAAAATGGATTTAAGTTGACTTCGGTCAACATTTTGGGTAAACGGGCTCGGACCCGTGATTTGACGGTGCCGGAGGATCCGTAGGAAAATATGTGACTTGGGCGTATGCCCGGTATTCCGAGGTCCCAAGTCTGAGAAATGATTTTTTAAAGAAAATTATTTTCTGGAATTATTTATGAGTTTTGGAAATAAAATGCGTTTAAAATTTGATGGTATCGGGCCCATATTTTGGTTTCGGACCCCGGTACAGGTCTTATATGTGATTTAAGATGTGTCTGTGAAATTTGGTAAGAAACGAAAGTCGTTTGAGGTGATTCGGACCCGTAGTTGAGAAAGTTGATACTTTGAAAGTTTTGTAATTTTTCTTAGATTTCTATGCTAAATTCGTTGGTTAACCATTTTGGCGATTTGATCGCACGGATAAGTTCATATGATGTTTTTGAATTAGTATGCATGTTTGGTTTGGAGCCCCGAGGATTCGGGTGAGTTTCGGATGGTTTTGAACTTGTGAAAAATTGCTAAACTGTTGTTCTGATGCACAGACCCTCTGTGCTTCGCGATCGCGAAAGGGAAAATAGGCAGGGGTGGATTTTGTTCAATGCGAACGCGAGGTAGGGATCGCGAACGCGGATCACTGGGGGTTGCTCTACGTGAACGCGACCCACGTCCCGCGAACGCATAGCGTAAATGGGGGGCTGGTCTGGG